ATATATATAATTTCCACCCCCTAGGAAACTGGAAGCAGGATATATTAACTTGTTATAATATCTTCAATCCAGAAGCTTTTATAGACAAGTTTGAGCTTATCTATTACTTGGGAAAAGTAGAATTTAAGCATCGACTTCTGGCTTCGATACCACCGTCTGCCTCTCTCTTCTAAATGCTCACTGTCCACTTATTTCTCATTTTCAGTGATCCTCTTGAAAAGAACTAACAACCCACTAACACCTACCCTATCTTCCCCAAAGAGAAATTAGGAGCAAAATATAACATTTAAGTTAAAAAATTCATAGCTGTTTCTGGTTTTTTACATTCTCTCTACAATGTGACTGTATTTTATTTTACAGTTTATGAAACCCTGGGTTTTGTATGTTTGCATTCAAATGGCTTTGTAGGCTCTCACTTTTTTTTGGAGTCATGAAAATTTCATTTTTTTTTCTGCATGAGTAAATTAGGAAAAAAGGATACTTAATAAATTAATAAATAATGAGCTTGTTTGTATATAATATCATTAAGATGTTATATTGACAGCAGGAAACTTCACGGAGAGTTTGTGAAGTTCAATGTTCTACCTGATACCTAGTCAACTTCTTGTTATCACTGACTACTCTGTTCTCATTCTGTTTTCACGGCTCCTTTCCTGAAGCTTCAGGATAAAAGCCGTAAGTGTGTTTTTAAGCTCTACAAGCAGAACATGCCAGCTGACATATTAGCCTGACTTCCCTTGCTTTTGTGATACATCAGGTGGTTCAGCGTCAGCAGGATGATAATTAAATCAGCACAATTTGTGCCAGTGGAAAAACAGTGGTGGCATGGTAGTGTTAAACAAATGGTGTGAATCTGCTTTTGGGCTGTTTTGAACAAGACATTAAGCCAACAGTGGTAGAGGGATGGTGTTTACTCTGTCACAAACATCAAGTAGAATGTCACCTTGCATGGTCTCACAAGGTTGTTTCAATAGCCAAAGCATGCCTAGGAGAGCTACGCTTAGTCTTTGGGGTAAGGGTCTGCAAAATTCAGGTGATGCACTCAGTAGGGGCTGCAGACCAATGGTGGAGTACCTGCCTTGCACGCAGAGCCCTGGAGTCCACCCCAGCACCACCAAGAGAAACAGAAGAGAATGAAAGAAAAATGAAGAACAAGTATGCTAGTGTTGGATTACCATCTTTAATTCTACCAATATTAACTGAATACCCAAACTATGTCCTGTGCCAAGTACTGGAGCTACCAGATGGAATTTCTCTAGACTTCAGAGGCCTCAGAGGATCTGCAAGCAACGTCAGCAGCCCACCCCACCCCACCCCACGCTGACTCTAGGTCGGAGGGCCTCCAGTGGAACTAGGCATCTGAAGGTTTGCCAATGTTCTCCACCTGATTAGATATGCAGCCAGAATTAGGACCTTGTGGAGGTCCTGGGGTCAAATACTCCCTTAGAGCAAATACAAGAGTGGACCAGCAGGCAGTAATAGGTCACACCAAGTAGTGGCACTGAAAGTACCCCCAGTTTTGCTGAGGCCTGGGGGCATCACAGAGGCGGGACAGGATAAGCACAGTTCAGAATTCTAATCTGGCACAGCTACCTACAAGTGCTTCAACTTGTGCCCCCTGCAGGTGTTCTGGAGAGACCATCCAGAGTTCTCATCCAGAATTCCCAGAGGAAGGTGCTTTAACATACATGTTAGCAATGTGGACCCTGCAAAAGGATCTGCTATGTTGAAAAGAAATTATAAAACTTCTAAAGATTAGGATTGCAATCCAGGCCTCCTCCCTCCAACACAACATAATTCTAGGTAAAAGATTAGATTTAATTGATGTTTCAAATTATAATATTTAGTATTAATTTAATGCTTAATTTAATTTTAATATTTAATACTTTAATCCAGAAAAGAGATATCAAGAAGGGTTACCACTCGAATATCTTGAAATCAAAGTCAGATTTTATTGCTTGTTTGTCCCAGTTTTAATGATTTGGCTATACTTAAAACAGGTGAACATTTTACTTTGTATTCAAGCAGATGTAGTGAAAGCTGCAGATACAGCGATGGCTTACAGAACAGCAGCTTCTCCTGAGCTGACTCCAAGCTGAGCCCCAAGGAGGTGCAGGTTTCGCGTGAGTGGTCACATGACATGTCTCTGCAATATCCGGCTCCCCTCTGACTCTTGGTCTCCTGTAGCTATGCATTTTAAGTATGTAAGATTTATGATCTAAGCCATAAGCAAGAAGCTCAGGCAAGAGTTCACTAATTAATCACTTTGGCCCAAATGTTCCAGTGGTTGTGCTACAGCAGCCCGGGCTGAGTTCTTAAAAGTACCCTTGATAATACGCGGTGCGAGAAGCAAGCCGCGTCTTCGCTGATACCTGCACATCTACCCAACGCGGGCCGGTCCTGCGAGACCTAACAGCGAAAACTTTAATAAAAGATCTTATCAAATAAAGCCAGCATATAATCAACTAGAAATTACACTTTTATCCAATCAGAGGTAATGATACGTTACAGCGTTACACATTTAAATAAACATTCCCGCCCGCAGATCACATCACTCAGATGTGTGAGAAGGATATTTAGAGTTTAACAGCTTTGGAATTGTTCTCCCTCGCAGCCTTCCGTCTCCCTCACCTTCCTCTCTCTTCTGTCCTCAGCACACACATTCCTGCAGCTTCCCGTGCAGCGTGCGCCCTCACCACCTCTGCTCTACTCCACTGCAGTCTTCCCGGGTGGGCATCCAGCGTATGCAATCGACATCCTCCAGCAGAACTTTGGCTGTCCCCAGGCTCCTTCGTGTCAGCACGGGGAGCCCCAGCTGCAGCCAACCCTCCTGCCCGCAGAGACGCACAGCAGACGGGAGACCGTGGTGCTGCACGCCGAAGCGAGCCAGCCTGTCTTCGGCCAGCTGTTTACTTCCCTAACTTAGGTTGCTTCCATTGTAAAATTTGGACAAATAAAGGCTTATCTACGAAGAAACAAGAAAAGCATCTCCATATTTTTCTAAGTTCTCCAAACTATGACAGATCTTTGGAGGGCATCTTTCTTTGTTTTGCAGAAGCAGCATTATTACAGAAAAAAATAGGGTATGAGATAACGGGCTAAAAATAAATCAGTTGTGCTCCATCGCTGTGTGTCACTTGTTGTAGCTGTTAACACTGCTAAAAAAAAAAAAAAAAAAAAAAAAGAAAAAAAAAGTTTTATTTCTTACCTTTTGACTTCCGGTCATGGTATGAGCGGCCTCGATAAAAAGGGCTGTCCAAATAGAGGCTCTCAAGATCTTCTTGCCACGATTCTGGGTTGAAGTGTTTGAGCAGATCTTCCACGGTGTCGAATTCTGCCACTGTTTTGTCCAGAGCGTCAGCTGCCAGAGCGGGATCCGTTACTGACGGAGAGCGGAAGGAGACGCCCTGGGAACGACACACACAGCTCAGCGTACCCCGAGAAAGTGTCTGGCGATTAAGTGCCACCACCCTACAGCTACGCGGAAGGAACACACGCCACCTTCTGACCGTAACACCTCATAGGTTTAAACTGCACGCAAGTGCCGCCTGCCACTGACTTGCCACATTCTTTTCTTTCTTTTTAAAAATGCATTTAGGACAAGGTCTACCAGGTCTACTGGGTCTCACTACGTAGATCGGACTCGCAGTGATTCTCCAGTGTTCGGCCTCCCAAGTGCTGGGATTACAGGTGCGCGCCACCACGCCCAGTCTCAATCATCATCTCAGCTCACCCCGGGGCCGAGGCCGGCACAGCAGGCTGGGGATCAAACCGCGGGCGCTCCGCTCTGCCTAAGCAGGTGCATCTGGCTGGCCCCTGACTTGAGAGATAGTCACTGCTTTGGAAGCCAAGCAGGTCATAAAGCTGCCAGTTTAGCTACACTATAATCACTTGCAAAGAGATAGGCTGGGTGGGAATGTAAAATCAACTCGCCCAACTTCTTGTCTCCAGGTCCCAAATCACCTGTATTTCAACTAATAAAAGCAATAATTAAAATTCTGCGTTCCTTCCAAGCAAGTTTTGGTAATGTATTCCATTCTCCTGCACGTGTCATCCCTCCTCTCCCTGCCAGGTCACCTCGTACTGAAGATGTGTGAGCAGCGCTGGATGAACTCTGGGGACATTTGGATCAAAGTGGACACCGTAACCCACATATGTCCTGCCAACAAGGGTACTTAGCCATGAAACTGGATCCCTTGACTTCAGAGTCCAAGATTCACATGGGTATGTTTACTTTATTTATTTTTTTTTGTTTTGCACAATCATAGCTTGCTAGTGTTCCCAGTTGCCATTGAAACAAATACTCTTTAAAGAAGGAACTAGGTACGCAGCCTCACTGGGAGACTGGAAAGGATCGTGAATTTTGTCATAGAAATAAAACACTGCCACGTAAGGTTTCCAAGCACTTACCTCACTAACCCTTGTACAATTGAGAGCTAAATGAGCCATGGTTCAAGCATCTCTGTAAAAATTCATGACCCATTAACAGGGAAATAGAGAGCACACAGCCTCAGATGGCTGCTAAATGTCTTCAAAGCAATTGCCAAACAAATAAGATGCCCCAAAGGCAGATAACTCCTATCACTAAGGGAAAATGGAAATTAATGAAAACTTGCTTCCCTGAAACTTAACTGCAGCATCCTATTGAGAAAAAATATGCACTGTAGTCTTAGACATCAAAGTTCAAAAATGATCGCTTCTGAGCCATGTTTTCTCCCTTTAACCAAGTGAGGTTCAGAGGTCTAAGTGATTGCACAGTCACTTGTTCTCAGAGGAACACTCCAGCTTTAGGGAAATGAAGGCATAGAATGTAATGTCATCCTTCTAATTCAAGGGCAATTTTCAAAGATGCCTTACAGGGAAATGGATTGAGGAAGACAGGAGCTGGCTAGTAGGGTGTCGGGCATGAGATACATGTTGAATGTGTTCAGCCAAAAGAAATCTTTTTTTCATTTGGAGAAACCACACATCTAACTTCAACGCTGACCAAATAAGTAGACATCCTCATCCTGGACCAAATGTTTGTACCGTGTTACTTTCAGGCCTCAAATATGGGCCTGTTCTTTCTTCTTTACAGGTTTATCCAGGCCAGCATGCACCTAGTTACAGAGCGCCTCTCATACGTTACTGAAGAATACAGGGATTTGTTCATAGTTCAAGCCACAGTAAAGTGTCGATAGGAGACAGCTGCCACCTGGGTGCAGCGGTGCCTGCTCTGCTTGCTGGTGTGAGTACATGTGTGTGTGTGATGGGAGACGAATCCTAATGACGCACAGCATCTCTCTCACAACTCTCTTGACATCAAATGCTGGATAATCCTGATGATTTGGCACTGTAATTCCTAGTCCCTATTCACTTTGGACAGTGTACCTGGCCCATATTCAAGGGTCAATTTACAATTAACCTTGTGTAGCAAGAATGCACATCTAAGATCTAAAATACTGATATGAGATGATCGAACTTAGGAGCATGCAAGCATACAAGAGCTTTACAATGAAAACTTTCCCTGTTTTCCTGGAATAAAAACAGGGATATTAATCAAGCCATCCCTGCACAGGTGAAAGCTTCTTGCACGAGCTCTAGAGAATGCAGCTGCAAGGAATTTTCTGGGGTGGCTCTAAACAGCACCTGGGATGTAGTGTGCATCCAGACATGGCTCTACGTGTAGCCCTCAGAGGACTCTCAGGCCTTGGAAGGGATGGGGGAGCCTAACGTCTCCTGATATTAGGCTGAAGAGCAAACCAAACTGGGTAACACGTGAGCTTATCCTTATGTAGACTTCGCTGCTGCTTGCGAGTTTTGATTCTGAGTGTCTGACAGACACAATGATGACAGTTAGGAAAATATGTATGAGTGATTAGGTAACCTAAAAAACCTCTAGGTATATTTGTTTCTGCAGCCAATATTTACATTTTTTATATAAGAAGAGAGAGTATTGAGAAATGACTAAATTTGGAGAACAAATGGGGGCATGAACCATGTTTTATATCTAAATCAAATAGAATACGGTACATACCTGGCTTGCATTTATCTTATAAACACTGGGAATTTGCAAGCTTGAAAAGAACCTTGAAAATACAAAGATTAATAGCTCCTGGAATATTCAGAAAGCTATTCTGAAACTGGCCACTCGTGCCAGGGCCGTGATCAGGTTGACGTGGCTGGGCTAGCCTCTGTTAGAATGCTCTTCTTTAAAACTGCCAAAGATGTCAATCATCATCTCCGCCCAGTTCCTACAGTCATCTACTGGCAATTCCTGAGAAGCTTTCTTAAGGGGAGGCCAAACAGAGTGTCTGACATCATCCACTGTAGCTTGAAAGAAAAGGAGGAATACCTCCACTTGGGACTCAGCTTTTCCACAGCAGGTCTTTAATGTAGTTTAAATCCTTCCGGGGTTGACCTTAGTTGTTCCATCAGTTTCTTTTGCTCACAACAGAGTGATAAATTACTTACTGAGGTAGAGCTTGTGACTGATTCCCAGTTGGTTCTAGAGGCTGCTGTGCGCTGGAAATTTTCCTAGAAGGCAAAGAAACATTGTGTCCATCAGTGAATCTGGCCTCCAGTCCATTATGTGCAATTTTAATGCCTTAGCCTTCTGAATCTTCTTCTAATGGCAGGAATAGGGAGACATCCTTACTGAACAGGGCACATCTGTTCTAAGAGTCTCACCTCTAGAATTTCTCATCCATGACTTGGACAATTACATAAAAATTCTCAGTAGAAAATGCACAGAAGCTAAAATTGTAGCGAGGCTGCCTAGTGGAATGTGATCTCAGACCACCTCTGATTCTTCCCTCCTCCATCTTTGCCAGGCTGGTGTGAAGTGCTTAAATTAGAGGGCCGTTCTGAGAAATGGACATGTTCATTATGTTAGCTTACACTCAATAAGATGCCTAATTAAATGTAATAATTATCATTATTGATGTTTATTGGGTTCGAATTAGCTTCTGCACCAAGTCTATGAGTTAGCATACAATACTGGTGATCTTTCCCATACAAACTCCCAAAGGCTGTTCTTGACGCTCTCATGAACAGCAGGAGGACTGGCCGGGAAGAGCTAACTGTGGGAGTAACAAGGGATTCCCTGCTGTGGTGGCCTAGATCTGAAACGCCACACCCCAGGCTCATGTGCACATAGAGGGGCGGGCTC